AACTTTACTTTGAAAGCTATGCACCAGGCCAATTCTATTCAACAAAATAAAACTTATGGTTAATGATGGAGAGTGATTATGGTTAATGATTCAACTTTTCAAAGAAACTTATGATGTCATAATTAAATAATAAATATTTAAAAAAAGACAGAATACAAAAAATGAAAGAGTATAGAATTTTGTTGAAAACATTTAGAAACATTTTTAATGTTATATATTCATCATATTAAATAATAATAATAATTTTTATTATAATTTAAAATTTTCATGTACAATGCATATGCACATTTGCTATAAACATTTAAGTACATTTTTAATCATATATTATTACTTTTGTTGATTTTCAATGTTTATTTTAACTATGATATATCTAAAATTCAAATAATTAATATAAAGAAAAATTTCTCATGTATAAAGCTTAGATAATGTATCTGAATGGACCGAAAATGACCTTTTTTTAGTGCATCCACATCAAATTTCTACTCTTTCAATAAAGCCTGCAAAGTAAGGAATCATGTATTTCAATTTGCTATATATCTACCATAATGAGGACCATAATTAGGGCCGAAGGTTATCACATTCAATGGAATAGGTCCAGCAGCAGGTTGGAAATTTGGAAGGCATGGGTTATTATTATAACAACTCAGCATGGAGTCCGGATTAGGTAATCAGTTATCATACTGATCGTGCAATTATTTCTCTCACATGCTCCGGTAGAGATCGGATTCAATACTCACAACACAATCACTTGCAATCGTGTACGTAGAATATCTCCATACTTGTATGTTTTTATTTCTAATGCAAGGCTACAAGTAACTGTAAAGATAATATGAGTACAGTTTTGTGAGGGAGACCTTAGCTTGGAACCTCGGCTCGATACATCGGTTGCTTGAGAGACCTACAATCAAAGGTAGTTAAGCTTGAATTTCCGAGCTTTTGACTCGAGTCAAGCTCAAGCCTGATAGTTTATGAGTAAGTCCCTGCAATGTAGGGCCCCCTTTGCTAGTAAATATATGTACGTAAGAAGGTATAAGGATCAGAGAAATGGAATCTAATAGTATTTTTTGCTTTTTTTCATAGAAATTACAAGAATGCCACTCTCTACCAACTCTCTTTTGCTTTTTTTCTTTCAAATTATAAGAATGCCACTCTCTCTTTTTCTTACAAATTACAAGAATGCCATCTCTCTCTCTCCTTATAAATTACAAGAATGCCACTCTCTCTTCAACTGAGGGATACCTCAACTTAGCATCTCAGCTGCTAGGGGACCTACGATCAAAGGTAGTAAAGTTTGAGTTGAGTCGAGCTCAAGCTCAAGTCTCTAATTCAAATTGAGCTCGATCTAGATGACACTTCGACCACTGAGGGAGACCAATGATCAGCACCTCAGTCACTGAGGGAGATCTCGGCTTAGCACCTCAACAACTGAGGGAGACCTCAGCTCGACACCTTGTCAACTACGGGAGACTTTAGCTTGACACCTTTCTTGCTAAGAAAACCTAAGTTCGACACTTCAGCAACTGAGGGAGACTTTGGCTACTTGAAAGACTTGCAATCAAAGGTAGCCGAGCTCGAACTTCCAAGCTTTTGACTTGAACTTGAGCTCAAGTCTCTAATTCAAATTGAAGTCGAACCTGATGATTTATGATTTAGTCTATTATTAGTAACGAATGAATGAATAAAATAATGGTATTAAAATTTGGGCCAATTTCATGTAAAAGTATAAATGCATACAAAATAATATAAAATACAAGGTTTTACATTATGTATTTATATTTGTATTCCTTTTAAACTAAGCCTTGCAGGAAAAGCCATGGATGGCTTGAATCAACAGTTTATTGAATACCTCGGCAATTAGGCTCAGTTTGGATTTTGCAACAGAAAAAGGAGTTGGGTTCTTTGACAGAAACATATGTTTAATTTTTTCTGTGTCAAAATCTATTCTAACAGTAACAGAAACAGTACTTTGGAAAAATTAATATTATTGTTAGAGAAGGAGCACCGTAGTAGTACTAGGATTATAATATTATTTTGAGGGTTGATTGGCACAAAGATGAAGTGCCGTCTCCTCTAAATATTCTGCAATAAGCCCTACCACGCAATTCGGCAATTCTTAAATCAAGAAATCTGACAGGAATTTGCTGATTTCCTGACCTATATATAACCTCTTATATGGGTTGGGTCTGGTGGCAAAATAGCCACTAATCAACATTCACGGGCCATCAGAAAGATCAATTAAAAGCTGGAAAGCCTTTGGGATGAGTTTGCCTCTGTCACCGATTTATCTGACTGCAATTGTGGTAGTGCGTTGAAACACTTTCTGGCTGAAGGAGAGAAAGAGAAAATCCATCAGTTCCTTATGGGATTAGGAGATTCTTTGGAACCGATCCTCTTGTATGCTGCTCTTAGCTAGTTGTTGAAGAAGAGTGCGATCAATGAGAGCTCCGCCCAATCTTGATGTTGCAGCCCTGAGTATTTCTTCCCAGACTAACACTACAGAACGACCTCCAACTCCAAGTCGTAACCGGCCATTTCGAGCTTCATGGCTAACCACCTAGTTGGACCAAATGTTCAGAGTCCTCTTGCTGTGAATAAATTTGTGCATTTACCTAATGGCCGGCACCACTATCAATGCTTCACACTATTTCTCTCCATGATGTCCTGTTTGTTCCCAGTTTTACCTATAATCTGTTATTTGTTAACAAATTTTGACTAAACAATTGAAATGGCTGCTGGTTCTTTTTTCCTACTACAGCACCCTGTCTCAAGAACTACAATCGGAATGGATGAGCTCCGGGACGGACTCTATTTACCTCCATTTTTCCCCTGCCACATATGCTACTGCTAGTCCTTCAATTCACTCAGCTATAGCTTATAGCTTATGTTATGGCATCAATGTTTTAAGCCACGCTTCCAAGGCCCCTATGTCTCTTATCCCTAGAGTTCTTCTTCCTATTGGGGTGCACTGAAGGCTATAAGCGATACCTTCTCACACTAATGCTCATTTTTTATTACCATAGTAGATGATTATACAAGATGTACTTGGACCTTTCTTCACTATGTTTTGTTTTATGGTTGAGAGACAATACCAGTCATCTCTCGGTCCACTAAGATCAGAATTACTGTGGCTCAAGAGGGTCCTTGCTGATCTCAAAATTATATATATAACTTTTAATACATATTATATTATATTATTTTGGGGCAAATTAAGAGAATATGGGGATTGGGTTGGGATTTTTAATTCCACTGAGGTACAAGGTGGGGATGGGGTGGGGTATTTGAGTTCAGATCAAGAGCGGGATATGTGAAACCCAGTCCCACCCTGCTTCGTTGCCATACAATGTAAAGCCCTAACAAGTTGTGTATATAATCTATACTACTAATAAAAGAGTGAATAGCCCTATTTTCTAAACTTTTCATTAGACATTTTTACCCATTATCTAAATAACATACGACGGGCATAAAAAATGGCATGCATGTTCTTTACTCTCACTCCAAAAACTACACACTTATAATAGTTAAAAAACTATCCACTTGTAACTGTTCAAAAATTGTCCATTTATAACAGTTAAGAAATTGCCCATTTATAACTGTTCAAAACTGTCCATAATTGTAAATAGTTTTATCTTGGAGATACTGTCACGTGCAAATACACATACATATTTACTAGTTTGATGAAGTGTGCAGGTTTACTTGCATAATTGTTCAAGTTGTATTTCAACAATCACATAATTGCTCAATTATGTATGTGTAATATTTAATTGAAGTTGTATTGCTATAAAGTGTGCCCTGAAGTTACTAGGTCATAATGTCTTGCAAATACATAGAACAGTACAAAGTTTCATCTCACAGGCATTCATGAATTGGAGGTTGAAATCATGTGATCCTTCATCGCATTTGACCCTTGACTGATCTCCAGCAAATTTAGGTGGTGTTTGGGAGTGTTTTCTGTTTTTAAATGGGATTTTTTTAGTTGTTAGATAAGCACATTTGAGTGTTTGGTGTAACATTCTAAAAAGGATTTTTCCAAAATATAAATGGGTTTTTTTAAAAAAAGATTTTTTGGTCATGTAAAATGGGCTTTTTTTTTAAAAGGCTTTTTGGTTTTGTAAAATGGGCTTATTTTTTGAAAGGGTCTTCTCCAAAACGTAATAAGCTATAAGCCAAAAAATTTGGCTATTTTCAAAATGCTTTTTTTATGAAAAAGCACTTTTTTTTACCAAACGCCAAATCAGGCTTCTCTGGGTTCTTTTGGTTCTTATTGGTCATTATAAGCACTGCCACACAGGATAGACTATCAGACATTAGCTTCGTTGGCCCTCCATAAATAGTGTTTTATATATCTTTCTAAAATTAATAAGGGTCCAAACAATTCCATGCCTTGTACTGAATCTGGATTATCAAGCCATAAGTCATTTTTCGGACCATAATCTCAAGGTGATAATTCTGACATTAATGCATAAATTCTTCTCTACATAATAATAGGCTAGTGTGGCCTAGAGGTGTCTAAAGAGGCCAAGGTTCTCTCACCACAGGCCTCACATCAAGTCTCTCCTCTCATTTTTCACATATGTAAAGTATTAAAATCATCTTATGTCTTCTCATAAAACTCTCTAATATCTAAGTTTCATCAATCAATTAGGTTGCATTTGGAACTAATGTAAAAACATCATCTGTGTAAATATTTACGTTGGTTTAATTTTGTCGGTGTTTAAAGAAGTGTACGGTCATGATCGTTATAAAACTCCATTCTTGTTCAATTTTGCACATGTTCAGATGGGGTGGAATTTTATGTTGTAAATCGATGTAAAAATTCATTAAAGCAGAGTTTTGCATCGATTACTGAGGATTTGAGACACACATAATTTGTTATTTGTCAGAATTTTTGGAGCCTTTGGAAGGATTGGAATTGAACGAGTGTTGGTCCATACTTTGGGTCCCTTTTGTTTGTCTATCTGAAAGTTTTCAGATAAGTCCATACGCTCGAGCTTTGAAATTGAATATAACTCTATCTCTATCTTTGAATTCTTATCCAAACAAAAGGATATGAACTATCGTTCATGGGGAGTCCTGAGTTGAAGCTTTTTGGAGCGTGGTTTAGCCCATTTTCTTTCAGGGTCAAATTGGCTCTGAAACTTAAGGGGATCCAATATGAATACGCAGAAGAAGATCTCCAGAATAAAAGCCCTGAACTTCTGAAATACAGCCCAGTTCATAAGAAGATCCCTGTGCTTGTTCATGACGGAAAACCCATCGTGGAATCGCTCATTATTCTCGAGTACATCGATGAAACTTGGAAGCAGAATCCATTGTTGCCTGAGGATCCTTATGAGAGAGCCATGGTTCGATTTTGGGTTACATTTGCAGAAGAGAAGGTAAGTGTGGTTGTTATGTCACTTCCTTTTTATTTTATCCATTATTACAAGTTTAACAGAGATACATGGAACTTTGGGAAAAGAGACCAAATGATCTGAAAATGGAACTCTTTGTCGAAATACTAGGCTTGAGAATTCTGGGTTCAGTTTTAGAAAATCTACATACATCAGTTTCCCTTCTTTTTTTTTAATTTATTTGTATCTATTTGTTATTGGAAGAGCTTGTGTAGGGAGAGAAGAACGCCACCTTCCTAAATTTGCCTGATTTGTTCTTGGGGTAAATTGCTGAAACTTTGTATGAAGTTTTTGACTGTTGCTGAAATCCCCTTAAAGTTTAGTAATTGTAATCACCTTTCCTAAACTTTCTGACACAGTTGCAAGTAAATCCTTTAGTTAAAATCCTTTAATAAGATGCATGAAAATGTCTGAAAAAAAAAAGAATTTAAAGTTGCAGCCTTACCTTTGAGGCCCCGTTCACTTTTCGGTAAGTTATTTACCCATGTTCTTTTATTTCTCAGGTAAATAAGGCGATGACCATTTTAACCATTGAAATCCAATATTAAAAGAGGCATTTTTGTCCCATTCAAGTTTTGGAAATTTTCCCCCTATGTGGGAAAGTTATTTACCCACCTAGGAGGAAGTGATACTCGGGAAAATAAACTTTCCCTGATCCCCACATAAAGCTGAAAAAAGAACATGAGATTCTTGGTCAATGGGAACCAAAATCCCATTGACCAACTTTCCCCCCTCTCCAAATCCAAAAAAGGAACGCCCCCTGAGGTTGTATTTAGAAAAGATGCAAATAAGTGTGAATGCAAATATGTGGAGTGTAAAGCGGTTCATATAAATTGCAAAATTGGGTTAAGTTTGCATTGACAAATTTACCTTTTCATCAAACAGATTTTTAGTTGTAATGGATGCAAACATGAATTCCAATAAAACATATGTTTTTTTTTTTATTTTCAAAAGCCCACTTGAATGCAAATTGTACTTTTATATCTTATTATCAATGTAAATATGCATTGGTCAGTCATTTGTCAATGCATAAATGTATTGTTGCCAAACATAGGCAAAAGTGAACCAAAGTGCAAATTTACCCCAAACCGGGATTTACACTCCATTTGCATCGTTTCCAAATGCAGCTTGAGTGAGTAATATGAAAGACAAATTTGAAAAAATAAATCAATTTCAGAAAAGATATTAGAAGGATTTGTGCTGATGATTTATATGAAGAAAAAATTTGAAAAATAAATATTTTGATCAAAAGTAATTGCACAGATATTTTGAGCATTTTCATGCCTCTTTTTAGAGGATTCTAACAAAAGGAATTACAACTATATCAGAAAGTTTGAAGGAAGTAATTGCAACTACCAAACTTCAGGAGAAGTTTGAAGGAAGTTTGAAGGAAGTTTCAGCAACAATCAGAAACTACAGGGCAGAGTGACTGTTCAGTCATTGTTGAGGGCTTAAATCAGAAAATCTTATAACCGCTTGATTAGTGTATATGATCAAACAATATCAAATAATATTTCGAGGGTAAAATACAGCATAATTTGATTGCTTATTCCTCTTATCTACATGATTCAGGCTATTTCTATTATAGAGAAATGATATGACTAATCTAAACCATTCATCAGGTACAGAACCTTGACAAGTCCACATGCGTTCACCATATATTCCACATCAGCCCTATAGCCCCACTTGCACTAGAGTAGCATCTGAACAATATTAGCCAGCCCAAGTTTAATGTTTTTAATTTAGACCGTCTAGAAAAGGGGCTTATTTTGCACACTGATACAAAACTGTCTAAAGGGGCTTTTTGATAACAGTTAAAGCGGTTGGATTAGGAATGGTAGCGGGGCGGGGCGGGTCTGGCTTCTGCATGCCTCGTCCCCGACCCCAAACTCAAAAAATCTGCCCCGTCCCTATCCTATATCCCAACAGAGCCAAAAACCTCAACCCCATCCCCATTCCTTTGGTGGATTAATGCCATCCCCGCCCCAAATCCGAACAACAGTTAAAAAACTTGCCCTCAATCAGGGCAGGATGGGTTGGAGTCTCCATAGGGATAGGTCAAATTGCCATCTTTAAGTTGAACAGGAAATTATTGAGGAAGCTATGACCTTCTTAAGTGTAGACTTGATAATGGACCGGGCCTTTGGGCTTAAGAGTTTTAGAAAATATATAATATTTTATATTATATGACATATAATATTTATATAAAATATTTGATTGACTTTATAAATTGAAATATTATATATCATCATCCTCACCATCATCCTTATGTCTTATCCCAACCATATAGGGTTGGCTCCATGAATCATGTTTCCACCAATCTGTTCTATTTAAAGTCATATCCACTGTTATGTTAATTAGTGATTAAATCATTTCATACTACTTCTACTTATATCCTTTTGAGCTACTTCTAATTCTTCTAGCCCCTTCCACTTGTAACAAATCACTTTTAATTGGAGCTATTGGTGGTTTTCTATGCATGTGACAAAACCATCTTAATCTTTTCTCTCTCTCTCTCTCTCTCTCTCTCTTACTTATTAGAGCCACTCTTAAGTTTCTACAGATGGCTCCATTGCTGATCCTATCCTTTCTAGCTTTTTCATTCATTCATCTTAGCATCACATATATGCCACACTCATTTTATGAACATGTTGTTTCTTGACTGCCCAACCAAGAAATTTAAAAAGAATAACAAAGAAATAAGTTGTTCAGTTGAACAACTTCAGCCATAATCAAGATTTGCCCCCTAAAAAGCAGAAAAAAATAGCATCTTTGTCCATTTTGGGTCTCACTCTATGCTGCCATGTGGATGACTCCTAGTTAATTGAAATTTCTTTAAATGACTCACCTGGAAATTAGGAAAAACTGAAAAGATGATGCGATTTCTTGTTTTTTAATAACTTTTACGAGTTTAACTTCTACCAAAAAATGAAGCCTATATTGGATCTTGATCGTTTTCTTATTTGATTTTAAATGCTTGAAGACATGTCTAGATGTCTTTTACTCTTTATCCATATACTGATTATGTTGTCACAGTTCATTGAGGCTTTGAGGAGAGCTTTATTTTCAGAAGGAACAAAACAAGAGAAGGAAGTGAAGCAAATAGCAGAGGCCCTAGAAATTCTAGAGAGAGAACTCAAAGGTAAAAAGTTCTTTGGAGGAGAGACAATTGGATTTTTAGACATTGCATTAAGTTGGGTTCCTGCTTGGTTGGGAGTGATGGAGGAAGTTGCATCCTTCAAAGTGTTCGACTCCAACAAATTCCCTTGTTTTAAAGAATGGATGGATAACTTTCAAGAATTTTCCATCACCAAAGAGACCTTCCCTCCTAGGGATGAGTTGCTGGTCTTTTTCCAAAATTTCCGCCAATTGAAGCTAGCTTCTACAAATAGCAACTAATCTCTCTCTCTCTCTCTCTCCTTTGCATGTTAAACAAGTTTAAATGTCTTCCCAAGTACATCATACTTGGATATTAGGATTTTGCTAGATGTGTTATCTTGATATCCTTATTAAATTGGTATATCTTCCATTTGTGTTCCCTATATTTTTTTTCAATAGTCAAGTTGGTCAATAATTAGATTTTTACATGGAAAATTGGGTGAGAAAGCAAATGTTCTACAACTCACTCATAATACTGGACCAATTACAATAAGCCACGTCAGCCCCATAGATGTGGCACCTTGTATCAGGCTGACATGGCATATTGTAATTGGCAATAGCATCCCCCTTTTCTCTGGAGCTGGAACTCCCACTCCCACATATATGCGGTATCATGATTGACACAGTATTATAGAACTGTAGAGGATACCAACTAGTGCTTTCAAGTTTCACCAATTTGTTAAAGACTCCAAGTCCAAATCCTCTTTTGTTGCTCAAACAAGTTCACTAGTACCATTACCGTATGAGCGATGAATGGCTTCAGATTCAAGGAAATGACGTCTTGAACCAGGATGAGACAATGCTGACCAAAAGAGACCTTTTATAGATATAATTTTGACAGGCAGAAAACGACCTATATTAGTCCATTCTCCATCCTCCATCCTTCTAAATGTAGCATCACTACATGGGATTAATACCTTGTCATTACCAATAATGGTCACATGCAAAACAATTTTGCCAATTCATCTGCAGCAACCCATTGGTTTCTGATCTCAAAATGCTGGAAAACAATTAATTGAAAATGGATGAATTACATAAACACAAGAAACTATATAAGGAGATGCCTGCAGGAATTAATAAACAAGGAATGGGAACAAAAAATGTGAGATGGGATTCTGATAAGCTAAGTGGAAATTTCCCATCTCTGTGATCTTGCTCAACAAAGAGCAAAATCACACCTTTAATATGTGAGTGCTTTTGTTTCTAACCGATTGCATATCATCTTTGGACTTCCCTGATAAAAGCGACATCCCCATTGCCAGTTGACTGTGAAAGAAGATATTTGTCTTGATCTGCATCATCGCTTTCTGTGGCCTCGCAAGGAGTAGTGGCTGAGAGAGTTTCAGACCCATCTTCTTCTGGATATCACAAGATACAAGAAGTTAATCAATATTGAAAGTCATGTAACGATTGGAACTTGGGGCACCTTCAGAATGGAAAAGACAAGGCAAACAGAGCTGGTCATCCAAGGTATCCAAGGTGCTTTAACCTTTGGCCCTAGTTTAGTAACTGAACATAGCCCACCAACCTACTGGTCTAAGGGATCAGTAGAGACATGCGTAACAGAAATATTGAAACCCCAACCATCCCACTTCCAAAAAAACAAGGAATATGTATAAAGATAAGTTTATTGATAACATCAATTTTCTACTGGAAGATCAAGATTGAAAAGAGAAATATATTACTAACCAGAACACACATGGTACTCAGGCAGCTGTTTGACTGTGGAAACTTGGAGGCTTTCAGGAAGCAGACAACTGCACATGGCACCTGAAATCCAAGAGAAAAAATGATAAAATGATTAAACTCAAAAAGTTAAACATAGCAATGAAAAGGGAAGAACCAAAGAGGGGTAGACAATGGAGATGGAGGAGAAAAAAATAAGGGAAGAAGGTTGTTTTCAGAGTCATGCAGTACCTAGGCTCACAAGAGGTGCTCATTTTATTCACCTGAACCCAGGTGTCTCACCTAGCTCACTGCTGTGTTTTGACAAATCAATGTAGAGCTCAATGTTAAATGGGTAACTAACCAGTTAACATATTCTATATTCTACATAGGAGATTCAGAATTAAAATAGTTTAGATATAAACATACAAGGGTACGGTATTCGTTTAATATGTAATACTCTAACCCATTGACTAATATACTTATTCAACTATTTTATTTCTTTCAGAATTTAGATTAGTATGTTCTTATATATTAAATTATTAAGTTGTTTTGATTTTTTTTTTTTTTGAAAAATGGTGCCTCAGTTCAGGCATGTCTCATACCTTGCACCATGGGCATTAGGCTCTAGGAAGCCTTTGATCTTTAGCTGCACTTAATGCTTTTAAAACATTTCGAAGCAGGCTTGCAATCACATTTAACATGTAAGCTGTTTTTTCTTTTTCTTCTTCAATCTAATCTAGGGCTGCAATGCCCCTTCTTCATTCCTGTTTTGATCGTTCACATCAAATAGAAGTGCTTCTCTAGAAGCCAAAGTCATTTTTCTTCAGAAGCAGAAAATACAATCTGTGCTTCTGGCTTTTGGCTCCCATGAGAAGCGTTATGGTTAAATTCTAATATGGTGATTCCTTTTGAATACCCAAACAACATCCATAATCCTTCTGCTAAAAGGCCATTACCTAATATTGGTCCCAGCTATCTAGGATCTTGGGAGGGGTAGATTGGATACAGTCCTAACCTTAGTCCTTTTTTTCCATGAAGTGACCACTCTCAGACTCGAAGCTGCATTCTCATGCTTGCCAGCCCAAGATTTTACCATTACACCAAGCAACAGTCACATATCCTTCAAACCTTTATTTATGTACACACTACCTTTACATGGAAATGGCCATGTAATATGTATTGCACAATCATATCTAATTTTTACTTTTTAAAGCTAAATTTCATTTTTCAAGACTTATGTTTTGACAAATTTAATTAAATTTTTAACATGTACAGATCTTTGTATAATATAATTTGTTAGAACAGACCATTTTACATATTTTAAAAGTGTCATCATCATCCAAGCATCCCAACTATATAGGGTCGGCTACATGAATTTTGTTTTGCCACTCCAATCTGTTTAATGCCATATCCATTGTTAAATTATGATACATATTTTAAAAGTGTTAATGACAAAGTACTTCTAGAAGTCTCTTGGTAGCAATTAACGGCAAAGTTACCGTATATGTCAATCTTTCAAACATTACATAAATTGTAAAAAAGGTCAAATCAAATCACAAATACCATAATACCATAACATTGTTTCTTTTTTTATATATTTATCACAAAAACATTGAATACATCAGAGAACCAATTTGGATTAATGCCAAGGAGATCAACCATGGAAGCCATCTTTTTTGAAACAATTGAAAGAAAAGTTTAGAAAGAAAATGAGAGATCTTGATATGGTGTTCATTGATCTAGAGAAAGTATATGCTAGAATTCCTAAAGAGATAATATGGTGGGTCTTAGAAAAGAAAGGAGTATCAAATAGGTAAATAGACTCAAGGATATGTATAATGGTGCAACAACCAATGTTAGAACACCTATAGAAAAGACAATAGATGCTACAGTTGCAACCGCTCATCACCAAGATTCAGCACTTCGCGCTTATTTATTTACATTGGTCATAGATAAATTGACTTAACATATTCAAGAGGAGGTCCCATGGTACATGTTTGTTAATGACATTGTTTTAATTGATAAAGTTAATATAGGATCAAAGGAAAAATTAAGCTTATGGACAAATACCTTAGAAACAAGAAGTCTTAAAATAAGTAGGCCTAAAACAGAATATATGTAAATTTAATAATAATAAATAGGAGTCCAAATCAGGGTACACTTATAATTGGAAACCAAGAAATAACTCAATGTGACCTTTTCTGGTACCATGGTTCACTAATTCATAACAAGGGAGAGATTGAGAAGGATACCACCCATAAATTAGAGAAATATAGGCAAAAATGGAGGGGTGCACCCGGAGTTTTATGCAATAGTTGAAGACCACTTAGATTAAAAGGAAAGTTTCTAATATAACAGTTGTAGAGGCAACTATGCTGTATAGAGCAAATCGTTGGGCATCATCAGGAAACAACCTATCCAAAAAAAAAAAGAGTGTGGTAGAAATGCATATGCTAAGATGGATGACTGGAAAAACTAAAAAGGATAGGATTAGAAAAGTAGTCATTCAAAGGAACCAAGAAGTTGCTTCAATAGGCAATAAAATGAGATAAAGTAGACCAAGATGGTTCAGTGACATGCATAGAAGACCATCAACAACACCTGTAAGAAGTGGGTAGACTAAAAATGACATGGGTCAAGGTAGTAAGAAATGATTTGATTGCCCATAATTTAACAATAGAATGGCACATATGGCATTAAATAGGATGGAATGGAAAAACAAGATGCATGTATCCAACCCAATATAGTTGGGACTTGGGATAGAATTAGAAAAGAAGTCATTCAAAGCAACCGAGAAGTTGCTTCAATAGGCAATAAAATGAGAGAAAGTAGACCAAGATGGTTTAGTGACATGCAAAGAAGACCATCAACATGTTATGGACACATTCGTTGGTAAGACTTACCGCCGCCGCCGGCAGCAGCACTGAGGAGAGGCCCACGCGACAGCTCACCAGGGGCCCACACTTATCTCTGGCCAACTCGCCACCAGCTTACCTTATCCCTTATCCCTTATCCCATCTATCCTTATCTTATCTCCTATTCTTAGTAGGAGTTTTGTTACCATTAGAAGTAGGTAGTTTATTTCCCATAAGAAGTAGGAATTTGAGTTTGATTAGAGATAGATTATCCTAGCCTAGCCGAATACAATAAGGAACCCCCTCTTGTAATCTCCTATTTAAGGAGCTATGAATTGAAATAAAGGTATTCAGTTTTCAATCAAGAAAGAGCTTAGGAGAGTTAGGGTGATCTCTTGAACAAATCACCCTTRGTTCGCCACCATAGGGTCTGCGCGCAAAGGGAGGGCAAGGGAAAGCTAGGAGTTTTCCCCGTGGACCGACCTGTGACGAGATCCTATGCCCGGGCCCGTAACACAACAACACTTGTAAGAAGTGATATGTTGCAAGTTGAAAGGGTTAGAAGGGCTAGGAGTAGACCAAAAGGGCATGGGTCGAGGTAGTAAGAAATGATTTGATTGCCCATAATTTAACAATAGAATGATACATATGGCATTAAACAGGATTGAATGGCAAAAAAAGATGCATGTAGTCAACCCAATATAGTTGGGCTCAATGTTTTAAAAACCGACCTAGAGGCCAAACCGGTTTTGCCTCTAGGTCGCGGGTCACCGGTTCGACTGGCCAGGTCGAATGGTTCAGACCGTGCCACGTCATCACATGTATGTGTATAAGTGTGTGTGTGTGTATATATATAGAGAGAGAGAAAGAGAGAGAGATGTGTGTGTATATATGTATACATGTGTATAAATATATATTTTAGCAATAAATAATATATAAATATGTTTTAGATAATGTTATATGTATTATTTTATATTTAATTTATATTTTTTAATTCAGTTTTTACGTTTTTTATTTATAAAAAAATATTAAAAATTGCAATTTGAGGCTAAAAAACGATTTTTTTGCAAAAATAGCGGGGAAAGGCACCTATGGCTCCTTGGGACGCATAGATCTCGATAAGTTACCCAAAATAAAAAAAAAATCACCCCAATCGGACATCGGAGTGCAAAGTTATGGCCTCCGAAAGTTTTGCATGTATTGAGTGTGCAACCCGTGACCCAATCACCAGGTCGAACCAGTCAACGGTTCAACCGGCCAGGTCAAATGGTTCTTGACCAAGTCAACATTTTTTTGACCGTCTAACGGGTCTTGACTGAACCGGACCCGGAATCCTGGCCGAGTGATGGTTCAAATGATTCGACCATCCGGGTCAATGGAGGGTTGAAAACATTGGTTGGGATAATGCTTGGACGATGATGATAGAAAAGAAATGAATATACAATAAAAGATTAAATATATAGAAAATGAGTTTACCCCATTTTCAATCCATATTCATCATATGTTTTTTTAAAGGTCATGTATTACACCTTGTTAGTACAGCAAACTATGTGACCCATCATACATATCTATTACCATAATGTTTACCACTTCTACCATTGCACATTATAATCATAGGATGATATAATCATGTTTGACTTCAAAGTCAATTAGCCCACATAAAAAGCTTCATACCTCATACCTATATATGACAGAAAATGAACTCAAAAGTGTTAGAACAGCTTTTAGACAACCCAAATATGGCTTCTAGTAAGGGAACAAAAGCCCCTTAAAAAGGAAGAAATAACAATATATGGAAGTATGTCACAACCAATTGATTTGAATCACATAAATAATATATTCACAAAGCAAATCATAGGATTCAAACAATAACTATAAGATTTATTTAGGAAAAGGATTCAATCATGAGTCTCCATTTTTGTTTGTAGTGTGTAGGCTCAGTTTGGAAGGAGTAAAAATACAAATATGTAGAATGAAAAACCTTGTAGTTTGTATTATTTTGTATGTATTTGCATTGTCTATATTTGTATTTGTACTCTTTCCATACTGAGCTGTAATTTCATTTACACTAATACAAATGCATTTGAGTGCAAATGAGAAGAGTACAGATTCTGGTTCAATTTTTCTTAGGGTTTCACTTTACTTTGCTTCAGATTCTATTTTACCTCATTTGCATTGCAAACAAACAGAATAAGGTAAAAGTTAAAAAAAAAAAAAANCGACAGAACGCCACCCCAACTACAGCGG